TGAATTTAGGAATGCTTGAAGTTGTCCCAGAGGCTCATTACATTCTGCTCACTTTTTGGGATTCCTTTTTCTTCTTGATGCTCTGATTCATTGTTTTTTGCTTCCTTATAGTCCAAATCACTGATTTGATTCTTGGTTTCATCCACCCTATTATTGATTCCCTGTAAATTGTTCTCTATTAAAATTAAGGTAGCCTTCATTTCTGACTGGATTTTTTCATGCTGCTGTGGTCCTCACTAAGCTCCTCAAGCATCCTTAAAACCAGTGTTTTGAACTCTGCCTCTCACAGATTGCTCGTCTCCATTTTTTTAGTTATTTTTCGGCAGTCTTTTCTGTTCTTTCATTTGAGTCACATTTCATTGTCTCCTCATTTAGACAGCTTCCTTGTGTGTGTTTTAGGTAGAACTGCAATGGCTCGCAGGCTTAGTAGAGTGGCCTAATGTAGTATGTGTCCTGTAGAACCCAGTGGCACAGCCTCCTCTATTACTCAAGCTGGGTACTCAAAATGCGCTCACTGGGCGGGGGCGAGGGGGTACTTGGAGAGAGATATGGTGTATAAATGGTGAAGGAAGGAGATTTGACTTGGGGGTGGTGAACACACAATACTATGTGTTGATCATGTGTTATTGAATTGGGAACCTGAAATCTTTATAATTTTGTTAACCTGTGTCATCCCAATAAATTCAGTAAAAGGGAAAAAAAACCTCTCTATATAAGAAATAAACCTCTAACTTAGTTCCTTAATGATCACACATAATACTTTTTCTAAAGTGATGCCTTTCCTGAGACTGTGGAGCTTGTACTAACTGTAGAATCATGCTTTTTAGAATGTTGTTCCTAATGCAATCAAATATTAAGGAGCCATTGCCACATAAAGTTGTTCTGAGAGGTTTCTGAGTGTCTTGGAAGTATGTTTACACAGTATGACAGAATGGAGAGAGGCTTTTTTCAAGCAAGAGTTCAAGGGCTGACCAGACTTGGGCATCCAGTAACAGCAAAAGGGGCCAGGTAAACTCTAGAGATTTAACCTTGGATGATAGCTGCTTTTGTGATACCCAAAGTTATAAAAGGCAGGGGAAAGGTAGGAGGGTGCTTTCAAAATGGGTGTCCCATTGCTGTCTCCTTAGAGCGTATTCACAGACTAGAGGTTGTAAAAGACTGGGTGTTGATGAAGTCAGCATCACTGCAGTCTTAAAATTACATCCAGTCAGTCTGTCTTAGGTATAAGGATGTCCCTTGTTCAATGCAAGCCCTGGGGACTTTCTGGAAATCAATGTGGTATGTTTGCTGATATAGTTAAAATAATGTAGTCTACAATTTCTTAAACTCTATTTCCCTGAAATCGCTGACCTTTCCAAAGATCCCTACAACACAATCATCATTCCAACCTAAAATGACTTTTTTCATTTTAAATATTTGACATGTCTAAAAAAGGAAGGAAGGAAGGAAGGAAGGAAGGAAGGAAGGAAGGAAGAAAGAAAGAAAGAAAGAAAGAAAGAAAGAAAGAAAGAAAGAAAGAAAGAAAGAAAGAAAGAGAAAGAGAAAGAGAAAGAGAAAGGAAGAAAGAAAGAGGAAGGAAAACCAAGAGCTGTGTGGTGGCTCCGATGGGACTAAATAGGGTCCTGGAGGGGCACAGCAGTGACTCTGGTCAGGCAGAACAAAGTGGCAGAGTCACTGAACCAAGCCATGGAGCAGAAAGGTCATCGGGGAGTCCTGACAGGCTGGGATCTGGGGCAAAGTTAAATGACCAGGCAGGCACTATAAGTGAGATCAGTGGGGAACCTACGAAAGTGCTGCTTGATACAGGTGCTAACTTTCTGGTTCTGATAGGAAGAAATGGGACCTGGGTTGCCATGTAGGGTTTTGTGACTTCCTGTCCCAGACTAAGCCAGCTCTCAGACCTGGAACCCCATGAATGAAAAGGGCGGCTGGCCCATTTGATAAGGACCCTGTAACCATGGATGTACACAGTGGATCTTCCCCCACAGCAGAGAGATGAGGGGCCATAGATCGGAGGACGTTGGGCACTGGTCAAAAGGAATGAATGCTCGGTCTTTTTGTTTTCCTTCATGGTGGCTGTGGATGGGTGCTGATCCCCAGTGTGAACCAGGTCAGGGCACAGATGGGCTTTTGGTGAAGTCCTTTTCCCTGTGGGCTCCGTGGGGTTCAGGCTCATCTTCTTGTTTATGTCATCCCAGAACATGCAATAACTATCGGCAACTGGAGAAACCCCACACAAGTCATCTGACCTATGGAGCGAGGGCTGTTGCGGTAGGAAAAGCCCAAGGATGCTTCTGATGCTATCGCCATCCTACCAAGACAGAAAATGGGAAGCAGTAATGGACCCCTGGTGGAATTTCCGAGATTAGCGCCCACACCAACGCTTGAGAGGTGGAGGGTGCAGGTTGTTACACCACCTCCATTAGATGCGCCTGTTTGGTCACAGCAGAGGGTCTGGGCCATGACAACAAGTTACGGCAAATGTGACGTGGTGATGACAATTGCAGCGGCAGTTCGGGGCGCGGTTTCTCACGGGCCACGGATCAGACCGTTCATTTTTCTGTATGTTGGGCAGAGATAATCATTTACGTTCACATTTCAGGGACAAGAGTACACCCCAACTTTCTGGTGACTTTTCTTTGTCCTCTCGCTTGCTCTCTCCTATCATGTGCTCCAGAGAAACCCTGATCATCTGATTTTCTCCAGAACGTCATACTGGTCCACTTCATCGATGAATTTATGTGTTTTAATCAGACACAGTGAACACGATGCAGCAAGCACCCTTGATGAATCAGAAATAAGACTGTGCAGTGGGTGGAAGAGAAGCTGTGCTTCGTCCCGCACCCAGTTCACTGGTGTAAATGCTGTAAGTCTGGGCACATCCAGCTCTTCCTTCCAAACTGACAGACAATGTGCTCCCCTTTACTCAGCTGCTTTTAGAAAAGAGACAATTCTCTTAGAATATTGGCGGTGTGTGTGGGATGTAGCACGTTTTGCTCCTGCTCATTTGCCAAGGAACCTATAAGATGGTCTTTTTTATAAACCCAAGCAGAAAAGGGCTCTGATTAAAGTTCAGGCTGGAAACCTAAGTGTCTGGAATCTCGGGCCATAGAATGCAACAGACACAACACCATTAAAAGTTTCTGTGACCAAGAAATAATAAGGATAGTCACAGTGTAGAACTTTAGGATTTTGGAGCAGCTCTGAACTCATTACTGGATCCCAGCAGAGACTGGATTCCAGACCACGCGGCGTCAAGGGCGTTGTGATCTGAACTGCCAATGCTGGGTGCTGTCGGAGCCACCAAAGCACATTAGACATGTCCAGCAGTGCCCATGTCCATGAAGCAGGAGTGTGTGGGATCCTGCTCAGACAGGAACGGAGGGCACTTGTGAACACCCCAGCAGGGGCCTCCGACTCCCATGGCCCCTGTTCCTCCTGCCCCTTTCTCCACCCGTACCCGTGGGCTCCTGGGCATCTCCAGTGACCCACTAGCAGAGGGGAGCGAGCACAGAGCAGGTTTATGTTAGTGTGGGCGAGGAATCCCACCGCAGTTCTAGTCGCCGGGGAACCACAGCTGCTCCCTGGCCGCTCTGTGCTCCTCTTGCGGCTGAAATGGTGAAAGAAGAGGGTCACTCTGCTGATTGCCCTACGGCACCTGCTACCAGAGGGAGGGTGGGTTGCTGGGCCAAGGAAAACTGCATTTGGGAGTCAGGAGAGTTGTTGGGGGAACTCTTCATATTTCATTGGCCAGAGGCCCTGTGCAGTGGAAAGAGACAGAAACTCAGTGGAGGCAAGACCATCAGACACTCCCTTCCCATAAGAACTGTCCCACGGAAATGTCCAGAGCAGAAGCTGGCTGGTGGGGAGAGAATGCGGAGTGGGTGGTGGAAGAAGGCAGCTCTGATTCCACCCCCAGGACACTTCCAGCTGCCCGCCCCCATCCTCCTCTCACGGGGGTGGGTACACACTGGTCCTCAAATTGTCATCAGGACACCATGTTGCCATGATTAAGTAGCAGATAAGAATTGCTTGTCTCCTATGTTGAAGACGCTGATTTCCAGCCGGACAAAGGAAGGAGTCAGTGTGGAAGGCGGAAGGGTAGACTGCGGTGGACACTCCGTTGCCTTTTCCAGACTCCTGCTCTCCCCCCTCCCCGCTGCTCTGTGCTGTTGGGGGCAGGTCTCTGGGGACTGTGTCAATGGGACCTCCTGCCTTCCAAGTGGGTGCAGTCAATGGGGATCTCCAGTAGGAGACCAGAGGGTGGACACTGCGCGGCCCCGGGCCACCCATTCCCCAGCCCCCTGCCCCGTGTGTTGCTGTGGGCCAGTCGGATCGCCCGGCCTGAGGTCAGAGCTCCCACCAGGCAGCCTCTCTAACCCTCCTCCCTGCCTCGGGACCTAGGAACAGGAGTGACTCCTCCTCGGCCTTCGGGCCTAGGGCAGCAGCAGGCCCTGTGACGTCAGCCTCAGGAAACTGTGCACACCCTCTTGCTTTTCCACTTCACACAAACCCACATGTGGAGGGATTCAGGTGGGATGAGGCCCCTGTTTGTGCAGGGAGCCTGGTTCCGAAGTGGGAGCCCCACTGGTCAAAGTGCACCTTCCCCTCCCCGGTCAGGGTGATGCCCAAGGACCTGCAGCTCCAGCGCCCCGAAGCCTCTGCTGCCACCCCGGCTGGAACAGAGATGTGCACCAGACCCGCGAAGGACGGGCCTGAGATGGAGCGTCTCTCCCCAGGCTGCTCTCCTCCCCACCCCCGATCTCAGCAAGCCTTGCCCTCCCCTCCCATAGAGAAACCCCAGCACTGGGAGAAACGACAATGCCTTTATTTTTCAGACACATGTGGCCACTCTTTGAGTGTCCAGCTCCCACGGGGCCAGTTCACCTGCTCCCAGGCCCTTCCATATGTTGCCACCAGGTCACAAAGTGTGTGGGTGTGCGTGTAGATGAGAATCCATGGAGAAGACGGGGAAACAACTCAGTGTTTGGTTATGAGGTCAGAGGGAGGGCTGGGTTTAGGGGTCAACAGGAACTAAGAATCACAGGGCAATAGAGTGAGCAGGGAGGTCACCGCACACCAAAGGGCCAGGGACAGCCCCAGCCCCACCACCTGAGCCAAGTAGGGGGCAGGAGCAGCCCCGCTATGGGGATCTTTAGAAGCACCCCCACGTTGGAGGTCTTTAGGAGCAGCTCTACTTTGGAGATCTTTATTCACATCCTCAGGGAACTCAGCTGTGTGGAACGGCCCAATCCTATTGGTGTGGTTCAACAAGGAGTTGGAAGGTTGGGCCATGCAGCCCTGAATGCTAAGTGGGGAGGACAGCCCACCTAGAGAGTGAAGACTGAGTCAGCGGGGTCTCAAAGTAGTACACACTTAAATTCCTAAGGCCCGGGAATCCCAGACCCTAACACTCCCCCCTCAGACCAGGAGATCTGGCTCTTAAGCCTCCCCACCCTGGAAATCGGGGTCCCTGGCCTCCTTCACCCTCGAGCCCAGGAACTGGGGTCTCAAGAGCCCTCCCACAACAGCTGCAGTGAATCCAGGCCCCCAACCCCTTCATGCTTGGGGCCTGGCCTTCAGCACTCACCTCCTTTGAGACTGATGTAACCTTTATAACAGTGAGTGGTGCCCTTGGGGCACCTGACAGTTATAGAGCTTGTACAGAATCTACTCATCTGCACACAGGCGGGACACTGCAGGTCTCCTGCGGCAGGGGCAGCTGGGGAGTGAAAAGAAGGTTGGGATGCACAGCTGTGCTCGCAGTGGCAGCCACCCTCCTTGAGCCCAGAGATTTTGTCCCTGGGGCCCCATCTCTCCATGTCCCTTTTCTCCCCCAGCCCCTTGGGTCCCCTACCTGGACCAGGGAGGGAGTTCAGCAGGACACTGGTACTGCTGGCATTGTTGCACCCATTGGAGGAGCAGAAATGGGTATAAGAGGCAGCGAGCACTCCGGGGGGCCCCGAGTGGATGGAGACAGTCTGGGAATCCGGTGTCTCAGCCTTGCCGCAGCCTTTGCTCCCCACAATGAGTGATCTGGGTCCTGTGGGCGGGGGTGGGAGACAGTGAGAGCTGGGCTGAGGAACAGGAGGCTCGGAGGGAGACAGGAGTCAGAGATTCCCGGAGGCTTAGCAGGCAGAGGGTGAGAGCGGGTTCCCTGGGTACAGGAGCATAGGCCGTTGCAGGCCGGGCCCAGAGGAGCCCGAGCCTGGGCCCTCCCCCAGCTCTGTCCCCTCTCAGTTCTTGCTCAGATGTCACCTTCTCAGTAAAGCCTTCCCGAGCTCCCATTTTTCAAACTGCAACCTTCACCTCCCTCTGTGCATCTCCTTTCACTCCTGGATTTTCTTTTTCCTCCCCGCCACATAAATGTGCAGGGAGGCAAACCCCGTGATTTACAGATGGGATGCTTTACAGAGCCTGGCCCTCAACAGGTGCTCAGTAAGGCCCAATGTCACTGTTACTTGCATCAGCCCTGTTCTCACACCTTTGCGTGGATTATCAAATATTTCATGATGACCCAGGACACTAGTGTGACTGCCAACACCTAGCACCCAGTTTTCAGAAGAGGAGAGCAAGGTGCAGGAAGAGGAAGAGTGAGGTGGAGCATTCCAGGCATTGGAATCAGGCAGGAAGTACAGGGGACAGAATCCAGGACGGGGGATCCAGGACGCTGTGCAGTGGTCCCGCCCTGGTGCACAGCCCACGCACCTACATCTATGAGCAGAAGTGTCTCCTGACACACCTCGTCCAAATCACATTTCACAGTTGTAAATGCATCCCATTCCACGGGTTCCTTAGCCAGGTTTTCTTTGAACCGAAGCATGATTCCCTTTTGGCAGGTCCTGAAAGCTGGAAAGAAGAAACCACAGGGTTTGTGTCAGCCCAGGAACAAGCCATGTCTCTCCCTCCAGATCCCATGTTTAAGAAGGTGATCACGTTCGTGAGTCACACTCAGCTAACCAGGACAGTCACTTGATCTCAGGTTGCCAAGGGACTTTTGAAAGTTGAGCCCTGCCCCCTTTCCTTGCCACCACTTCTGCTCCAGCATCTGCAGGGACCTTGCTCAACACCCTTGAAGGCTGCTCCTCCCAAGCCCCTCGGAGTGTGGGAAGGAAGGAAGGAACGTTCTTAACCTGAGCCCTCTCTCCTTCCCTCCTGAGGCTCAAGGTCCTCATCTGGATAACGAGGAGTGTAGACTGACACCCTACATTCCTTTAACTGAGAAACCCTATGTGCCAGACAAAGTTCCTCCAGCACCTAGTGTGTGTGCTGAGCATTCACTCTGTGCCCAGCTGGGGTGGTTGCTTTCCATGGATTTGCCCATTTAATCTTCCCGAGGAGCTCTCTCCTCTGGGTTCCCTCATTGCCTCACAGTGAGCACCAAAGTAGGTGGTCTGATTTTCCTCCTCCTCCCCATTTTTGAGATGGAAGACAGGGACAGAGGAGTGGTGAAGTGATTTCCCAGTGTCCCACCACTAATAACTAGCTCAGCTGGGTTCTTTGGGGTGAGGGATGGGGAAGACAGTGTTTGAAGACCTTGCTCGACCACCTTGGCCTCTGAGGTCCTTGGGAGCCCAGTCTCAAAACCAGAAACTTGGGCTTCACTTACAGCCCTTCATTACATCATCAGCAGGGATGTGTCCCCTGACACAGGACTCCTGGGCTTATGACAGAGCATCCACCATGTGTTCCTGCACAGCAGCCTCACGAAGGAGAACCGCTCATTCCCCCCTTCACACACCACAGCTCGTGCCTCCTGCTGCCCTCCTCCCAGCCTGGGTGCCGCTCTCCCTGCCCCCACCTCCCACGTGTTGGTCAACAGCAGCTCCTGTCTTGCAGTCGCTCACGTGGAGAACATTGCTGCCATTCTTAACAATCTCCATCTCTTACACCCCAGGTTACAGCCATTGAGATATCCCGTTGGCTTAAGATGCAGAACACCTCCAGAACCTGGCCATTCCTACCACTTCTGCTGACTCCACCAGCGTCCAAGACCTGCTGGCTCTGCCCTGCTTTGTCCTGAGTCCCCTGGGGGTCCCCTCCTTCACACCCACTTCCCACTTACTCTATTACTCACTCAGCAGCCAGAAGAATCCCCATGAAATGTAAGTTCATTCCTGTGTGACTCCTCTGCTCACAAGACTCCGATAAGTCCCTGCCCCACTCAGAATAAAAGCTTATGTCCTTAAAGTGGCAGCTCCAATTCCCTGCCTCTCCACCCACATGTCCTTCTCTGCTCTCTATTGAGCACACTTCTGGAGCTGCACTGGCCTCTAGGCTCTGCCTGGAACACCCAGCAGGCCCCCGCCCGCCCCACGGCCGTCCCATGTGCTCCTCTGCTCCCGACTGTCTGGAATCATCCACCCCTCCTTGGGTTTGCTGAAAGAGGCTCCTACATGAGCGGATTCTCCAAAATGGTTCAGGGGCACAGCCCAGAGAGGGACCACATCTCCCTGACTGAGACCTCGGCTCTTAGCCACGGCGCTCCCCTGCCTGTGCCGACCCACCGCCCTCACTGGCACCACGGCCCAGTTCCTCAGGGGGCCAGGCAAGGCCGCTCTCGTTCCAGCCCTTTGGTTCTCCTTCAAGGGGCTCCTGCTGTGGCCTGTTTTGGGCACCTGTGCTCTGGCACCCAGCTCACTCCCAGCCCCAGGCCTTCACAGGAGCTGCCTGTCTGTCACCCAGGAATGGCCTTCTGTCTCCGTGACATCTTGTGCCCCAGCTTCTGACGTCTGTTCTTGCCATGGCCCAGTAAGTGTTTGGTAAACTGCTGAATTGAATCAAACCATACACAGGAAGGCAAACACATCTCCCAGGATCTGACTCTAATGTTGAAAGGTAACAGAATAAGTTTACACATTAGGAATACTTATGTGTGGCATAGTAGCTGTTTTTTATGTGTCATGTGTGTGGTTTGTGTAGCATCTGTGCATGGTATGTGGGGAACTGTATGAGGGTGGGTGTATGCGGTATGTGACATGTATATGATGTATTTGTATGGTATGTGTAATGTATGTGGTATGTGTAATGTATGTGGTATGTGTTTGCTGCCAAGGTGTGGCACGGTGTCAGTTTTGTGTGTCTGTGTTTAGTTTGTGTGTGGTGTGTGTGTCATGTGATGCGTTGTATGGTCTGTGTGTTGTGTGGTGTGTGGCGTATGAGGTTTGCACTGTGTGTTAGGTGGAAGAAAGCATAAGTGTAGTAAGTGATGTGTTGTCTGCATGTAGCATTGTGAGTCCAGTTATGTGTATTGTGCATGTGTGTGTCTGTACGGTATGTTGTGTTGCACGGGTTACAGTTGATTTGGTTCAGGAGCGCCTTCTGGACTAAGAATGTTACCTAGTCCCAGAGAGAAGGGTCACACAACTAAACAGAATTAATCAAAAGGAGAGACTCAGACTGTCCCTACGTGGTCAACATATTTCCATGTTTCTGCTCCCAGGAGAAAGGCTAACTCCTACGCCCAGCCTCCCTGCCCACTCCCGCACCAACACCCATCCCAACACACGCCAGGCCATGCCCGGCCTCCCTGGCCTTGCGACCCCTGATCCTGCTGCTGGAATAGCTCTGCTGAGGTCACCCACACCCACCTTGTCCACCTGAAAACTGGCAATCACTCCCCAGGCCCAGCAGCACCCGTCCTCTTGACGAGACCTTCTCAGGCGGAGCCGGGGAGCCCTGTCTGAAAACAGGACGCTTATTCCCAGGGCCGGGCCTTTGCACATGCTGCCTCCTCTGCTTGTTCACATCCTCTTCCTCTTCTGCTAATAAACTGCAGCTAATCTTTAAGACTCGACTCATAGGTCACCTCCCCTGTGAAGCCCTCCTCGGTGCCCCACCCTTGGGACATTACTTTTCTCCCCCTCGGAGCGCCCCGACCCCCTCCCCACAGCCCTGTGACCATCTGCCTCTGCGATGTCTCGGCTCCCCGTCCTGGAGGCCCTTGAGGGCAGGGCCAGGGCCGGAGTCCTCTGCAGCCTCCGAGGGAGACCTCGGAATCCTGCACTTCTCGTCCTGAGCTGGCCCTCCTGTTGCCTCAGGCGGGAAACCTTGGTGTCGGTGACACCCAGGCCCTGTGCCTAAGGCTCCCAGCCTCGCCGGAGGGGTCCCAGCACGGAGGACTCTGCTGAATCCACTCAACATTCCCCTGGAAGGCTTAAGGGCTGGGTGCTGTGGGCGGATGAGGAAACTGAGGTTCGGACAGGAAGGCCCTCTTCCCGCTCTGCTAAGTCCCCTGTGCCCTCCCAGCCTCCTGTGCTTCTCACTGAGACACTCCAGCCCATAGTGAGTCTGCCCAGTGCACGGTCAGGCTGCATTTGTGTGGGTGAGTGGGGACACCCCCACAATGTCCCTGCTTGGCTCCTGCTGTCCCAGTCACACCTGAAGCACCCTAAGTTTTCTCTCTGACCTTCCTTCCTATACAGCGTGGCTGCTGGGGTGCTCTAGCACCATGGGAAGGGGATGGATGAGCATGGTGTAGGTAGGGTAGATGTGAAGAGGTGAGAGACCCAGGGCTACCCAAGGTCAAGAGGATGGGGGGATAGAACTGAAGGCAATGAATCACTCCCAGCATGAGAGCAATGCACTCTGCATTCACTTCTGTATCCAATGAATAAAGCAGAATGCGAAGCAGCCAGCCCTGTGTGAGACTTGACCTTTCCCCTGCTCCCCACTCCCTGCCATGTGGACAGCCTGCCCTCACTTAGTTGGTCAGTCCCAGTGTCATTTAAAATACACACCAGTGAGCCGCTGTCCCCTATCTGTCCCCTGGATGACGTGCCCTCTCCAGCCCCTTAACCTCTTAGCAGAATCCTCACCCCAAAGAACCTCTTGCTGTGAGCATGCCGGAATGAATAATAAACTTCTAAATTACTTGGGGAGGCTAGTGTCAGCGGGATGTCTTTGATGCTGGACTTTCACAAGGGTCCATGTATCCCAAGGCTGCGGGGCCGGGCACAGCCTTGTGTCAGGGCTCGGAACTCACCGTCAGTTTCACAGCTTTCACTCACAGACAAGCGGCCAACTTTCCGAGTCCCATTAAGCAGGTTGCAGGCTGCTTGGGATGTGCATCCCTGGACTCTCAGATTGGTGTTGATGCCCCCTGCGGGAAGAGGCGACACAGAGTAAGAGAGGGCGAGATGTCATTGCTGGGACCATCCCACCCCAAGAAACCACGCCCCCGCTTCTCCAAGTCTAAGGTCTTAGCTACCCTGCCTGCCTTCTGTGCCGACACGGACCCAAATGTCCCAGCTCACCTCCCCTGAGCTGGAGGAGTCCGTTGTAGCAATGCGAGTGCCCGACGGGGCAGGTCACCTCTGTCGGAGAGTCGCAACCTTCTGTAGAAAAGCAGACTGGGCAGTGCACGGTCCCCGGTACTGGGAGGTGAGAGGGAGGAAGGAAAGATTCAGCGGCCTCTGCATTTGGATCTGGTGCCTTCTACACACCCTCCTTTTGCTACTCCCCTCCATCAACCTCTGCAGCCTGCCCAGGCTTGCCCTTAGGTTTTTGTCATCTAAGCCCATGGTGTAGAAAATCGGAGTCATGTATTTACTGAGAAAAGTGTGGGGGCATGAGATCTGGGAGTAGCACTGAGGAGTGATAACGGGGGGCGGGGTGCACTGGGAGGAACCAAGGCAGAGTTCACCCACAATTCTCACTACACAATCCAAGCTGACCGCATGCCCCAAAGATCAGTGAAAGACAGAGCATCTCCCTAAACCCACTTTATGATACAGACAAGGATAGTGAAAAGTTCCAGGCCAAGTTCACTTTGGAAGAGGAAATACCAAAACCTTAAATGAACATGAGTGAACCAAGCCCAACAGCACAGACAAGGGAGCGTGGCCCAGGTCCGGGCCATCGCCAGGGTCAGAGGTGCAGTCCTGGGGGCTGCCCAGGCCTGTGAGAGGAAGCTGCGCTGGGGCGGGGGGGGGGGGGGGGAGTCCTGGGGGAGTGGGCACAGGGCGGGGTCTAAGGGAACAGTCCCTTTCTGCTCCCCTGCTCCCCGCAGCCCCTCTTCTCTCCCCCTCCTTCTCTCCCCATTTGTCTCACATGTAGGAGGAGGTGGGGTCCAGAGACGGCGGGTGCTGAAGAGGTCATTGCAGAGGTCCTCACGGCGACACACACGGGTGTAGGAGACAATGGACAGGCCAGGGCCTTCCTGGTGCCGGGTGACACGGGCCTCATGATCCTTCTCCTGGGTACAGCCCTTGGTGATCACTAGGAACACCTGTGGTCCTGGATGACAGAGGAGGGGCCGGGTGAGGATCAGGACTCCGGGGTCTAGAGGGAGGGTCTGTGGATGGGGTGGGAGCTGGGGAGGAGGTGCCTGGGCTCCCGGGGGATCCTCCTGTGGAGGCGGGGACAGCTCCTGGTAGGAGGGAGGGGGTCTCCTGAGTCTCCACACAGAAGGCAGGCAGGACGGGTCAGGAGGAGGGAGATGCCTGCACAGGTGAGGGTGGCAGTCACGCTTGGGGTCTGTGGGGCCCCCCTCACCATTCTCTAGGAGCATCACCGTGTCCTGGCAGCCCCAGCCCTCCCTGCAGTCCTCCTCGCCAACGGTCCACGTCAAGGGCAGTTCTGTTGCCTCCCTCACAGCCATTGCTGATCCTGAGTGACAGGTCAGGGTCTGTCCTCCTGAGACAAGAACAGGAAATCCACCTTAGCCCACCCTCCCAGGAAATCCCCCCCAAGACGGGGTCTGCACTCACCGGGCAGCACCAGGGTGAGGCCCAGGAGGGCTGGCAGCAGGGCCGGGCTCATGGTCAAGGCAGCAGCAACTGCTCGCTCCTGCTCTTTCTCCCAGGAGACTGAGCCCTTTTATACCTCTCCTCACCCAGGCAGCCGGGGAAGGGTGGGGAGCGGAGGGCCTTGCTGAAGGAGGCCTGGGCCTAGCCTCTGGTTCTCACCAGCTTAAAGGTTGAGAAACCTGAGTCCTTCCTCCTCCCTCAGACTCAGAAGTCCACCCCAGACCCTCAGCAGGTGAATATTGTGGCATCCTGAAACCCAGCCTCCGCTGGTCCGGACCCCAACCCTCTTTCCTAATGAACCCAGCTGTGCACGTCCCCACCCCCACCTTCTCCCAGGTGGTTTGTGAAAGCAGTTCCCTCATTTCTCATGGCAACCTGGCCACCTTCTCGACCAAGGTGGGGAAATGGCCCAAATGCTCTGAGGATTTGGAGTCATGGGTTTAGGCTGGTCCCTATGGCTTTTCTACCCTAAACCTGCCTGCCACAGATGTATATCTTTTTCTCTTTCCTTCAACTATGGCTTTCCTTTTTATTTCCTCTTTTCCAGACCTTCCTCATGCTTTTTCTTTACCTTCTCCTTCTGATTTGTATTCTGATTCTCCTTCTGTTCTCTCCCCTCCCAGCACAACACAGGCTTAGAGTCCCCAGTTTCTGCCACCAAAGAGGGAGCTGAGGTATGGCAGAGGAAGAGTAAACAGCTAGGGAAGAACTAGGATATTCCTTGACAAAGCAAAGGTTCTCAGTTTGAAATAGACAGGAACAGTGGTGTGAAACCAGAAAACCAGCTTTAAGGAAAACAGCATCAAAAAACACTGCCTCATTCTGTTGGCCTACTACTGAGGTGTAAATACTCCTGCCACATCAGATTTTGAAGCCATCAGCAGTTTAACAACCAGCTTGTCAGATCCTGAATATCTAACAATAGGTTTTGCAGGCGTGCAGAAATCACTCCCAGCCCCCTGTGTAGGAGGGAGACGGGAAAGGATACAGTGCTTAGGTCAGGATATGTGGAGGCTGCATAGAGAGAAAAGTTAGGGCTTGTTTTTGTTTCGGCAGCACCTGTACAACAGCACACATGACAAGGTGGGCAGAGTGACTCTCAGTCAGCTAGCCAGAGGGAAGGACCCACCAAAGAATGACCCAACAACAACCAAGGCCCATTACAATCACAGAGCCAACATAAATGGCATAAAGGGCATCCTGAGAGCATTGAGTTCAGGAGATCAAGGAGACTGCACTGCTGAATCACACAGGTCTCCTACCACAGAAGGTCACACCACAAAGTCAGGGACTCAAAGCAGGTCAATATAAGAAGCATAAACAAACAAGAAGAGTCACCTAAATTTGGGACACAAAGAAACAACCCCCAATCAAAAGGAAAGGACGACTCCCCAGAAAGAGTGTGAAAGGAAATAGAGGCATGCAACGTATCAGACACTGAGTTCAAAGTAACGGTTATAGGCATGGTCAAGGAGCTTGGTGAGAACAACAAAGAATCCAGGGAAGCTACAAGGAGCTAACTGCGAACTATATGAGCATGCGAGAGGATATAAAAGCTCTCAAGAGGAGCCAGGAGGAAAGGAAGAAGGCAATTTCTGAAATGAACAACACAGTAGAAGGAATTAAAAGCAGGCTAGTTGAAGCACAGGATCGATCAGCAAGCTAGAGGACAAGGTAAAAAAAAAAAATCCCAGACAGAGCAATGAAATAAAAAAAGGCTTAAAAAGAATGAACAGGGTTTAAGGAAGTTGCAGGACAACACAAAATGTAATAATACCGATATCACAGAGATACCAGAAGGAGAAGAGGAAGAAAGCACAGGAAGCCTGTTTGAAAAAGTAATGAAAGACACCCCTTTTAACTTGAAAAGAAAGGAAAAAAAAGACCAGAAGGGCATAAGGTCCAATCAAGATGAATCCAAAGAGACCCACTCCAAGAAACATCATAATTAAAATTGCAAAATTCAGAGACCAAGAAAGCATCTTAAAGGCAGCAAAGGAGAAACAGCTAGTAACTTAGAAGGGAGCGCCAACAAGGTTATCAGATGATTACTCATCAGCAACAGTAGAAGCCAGAGGGGAATGGCGAGAAATATTCCAAGCAATAAAAGCAAAGACCTGCAACCAAGATTATTCTAACCAGCAAGGCTCTCATTTAAAATGGAAGGTGAAGTAAGGAGTTTCCCAGACCCAAAAAAACAAAAACAAAAACAAAACGCTAAAAGAACGAGCATTGCAAGAGATGCTAAAGGGACTGCTTTAAGAAGATGAAGAGAAAGAGGGAGGAACAGAGGAACAAAAGGGGAAAACTGGCAATGAGGAAGTACCTATCGATAGTAACTTTAATTGTAAATGGGTTAACTGATCTAAGCCAAAGTCATAGAGTACCTGAATGGATAAAAAAAAAAAAACTGAGTTGCATGCATGCTGTCTACAAGAGACCCACCATAGAACAAAAGAGGTACAGAGACAAAGTAAAGGTATGGAAAATAATATTCTAAGCAAATGGACATAAAAATGCTGGGGTAGCAATATCTATACACAAAATAGGTTCAGAAAAAGGTCATGAAGAGAGACAAAGAAGGACACTACATAACTTAAAGGAATAATCCATCAAGAAGATATAACCCTTGCAAACATACATGCATCCAATATAGGAGCACCAAATATATAAGGATAATCTTGGAGGACTTCAAGAAAGATATCGACCACAACATACCGACAGTATAAGGTGTTAACAACCCATTGTCTAAAATGGATAGATCTTCCAAGCAAAGAATTGACAAGGATATTTTGGCATTGAACTGCACTCGAGATAAAATGGACTTAACTGATATACACAAAACTTTCACACCAAAGAAGCAAAATATACTTTCTTTTTGAATATACATGGAATATTTTCAAAGTCAGACCACACAGTAGAACACAAAACAAGCCACAACAAATTCAAGAAAATTGAAATCATCAAGCACTTTCACAGATCACAATGGTTTGAAACTAGAAACAAACCTCAAGGAAAAAACTCACAAACATTCAAGTTCATTGAGACTGAATAACATGCATTTAAACGATGAGTGGGTTAACAATTAGGTCAAAGAAAGCATCAAAAAGTTTCTGGAAACAAATGGAAATGAACACACAACAGCCCAAAACCTATGGGACACAGTGAAGGCAGTCCTGAGAGAAGACTTCGTACAGTCCTACCTAAAAGAGATAGAAAAATCTCAAATAAACAGCCTAACCCTGCACCTGCCAGAACTAGAGAAACAACAACAAACTAAGCCCAGGGCAAGTAGGAGGAAGGAAATAATCAACCAGAGCAGAATTAAATGACATCTGCACTAAAGAATGATTCAAAGCATCGATAAATCCAGGCGCCGATTTTTTGAAAAAAATAAGCAAAATTTTGCCAGACTCATCAAGAAAAAAAGAGAGAGGACTCAAATAAATAAAATCAGAAACAAACAAGGAGAAACTACAACCTATACCACAGAAATACAAAGGACTACAATAAATTACTATGAAAACCTATATGACAAAAAATTTGAAAACATGGGTGAAACGACAAATTTCTAGAAACATAGAATCTTCCAAAACTGAATCAAGAAGTAGGAAGCCTGAATGGACCAATACCAACGAGTGAAATTGAAGCAGTAATAAAAAAAACTCCTGGTGCACAAAAGTCCTGGATTGGATGGTTTCACTGGCAAATTTTACAAAATATTTATGGAAGAGCTAACTACTATCCTGCTCAAACTTTTCAAAAAATTCAAGAAGAGGAAAGACTCCCAAACTCTACTTATGAGGCCAGCATTATCCTAATTTTAAAACCAGATACAGACACAACAAAGAAAGAAAACTACATGCCAATTTCACTGATGAACATAGATGCTAAAACCCTCAACAAAAATATGGGCAAAGTAGATCCAGCAATACATTAAAAACATCAGCCACCATGATCAAGTGGGATCCATCCCATGTATGCAATGATGATATAAAATTCACAAACCAACAAATGTAATACACCACATAAGCAAAATGAAAGGAAAAAATCACACGGTCGTATCAAAAGATGCTGAAAAATCATTTGATAAAATCCAGCACCCATTTATGATAAAAAAGAAATAACAACACTTAGCAAAGTGGGAATACAGGGAGCAAACCTCAAAATAATAAAGGCCCTATGAAACAAACCTACGCCCAACATCGTACTCAACGGGCAAAAGCTAAAACTTGCCCCCTAGAATCAGGAACCACACAAGGGTGTCTACTTCCACCACTTTTCTTCAACATAGTATTAGAAGTCCTAGCCACAGCAGTCAAACAAGACAAAGGAATAAAAGGCATCCAAATTGGAAAGGAGGAAGTAACACTGTCATTGTTTGTGGATGACATGAAAGTTTACATAGAAAACCCTACGGGCTCCACCAAAACGTACTCGACCTAATAAGTGAATTAGTCAAAAGAGTGGGTTGCAAAGTCAGTATGCAGAAATCAAAGGCATTTTTGTACACCAGCAATGAATTATCAGAATCAGAAATTAGGAAAAATAACCCATTTGCTATAGTAACAAGAAAAATATAGTCCCTGGGAATAAATTTAACCAAGGAGGAAAAAGACCTGTACCCAGAAAACTGTACAACACTGGACAAAGAAATTAAGCAAGCTGCAAATAAATGGAAGCATAGACTGTGGTCATGAATTGGAAGAACTAACATTATCTTTATGTCCATACTACCCAAAGAAATCTATAGATTCAACACAATCCCTATTAAAACACCAATGATGTATTACACAAAGATTTAAACATGAGTCCTGAGACCATAAAGTCCTAGAGGAAAATATAGGCAGTAACATTTCAGATATCCCACACAGCAATATTCTCGCT